CTTGGAATGGGCTTGTTGTTTGCTTGAAGTCCTGGTGAATTTCAACAGTCTTCCAGTTTCGACAATCCAAGCCGTCCCAAAAGACCAACTGACAGATGTTGTTCAATGACTGACGGTCATCATTTTCATGGCATGCACATCATCAGCCTGATTTGCTTTGCTTTGCCTTGCCTTACCTTTGCTTTGCCTCTGGCTTGGGGCTTGGGGGTTTGGGGCTTGGAGGCTTGGGGGCCTCGGGCTTGGGGGATTGGGAGATTGGAGGATTGGGGGTTTGGAGGATTGGGGGATTGGGGATTGGGATTGGATGATTGGGATTGGGTTTGGTTGGATTGGATTGGATTTGATTTGATGCCCTAAATGAATTTAATCGCTGGTCCTGGCCACTTGCGAGAACAGATTAATTGTAGCCAAATGTGTGGGAACCGACCAAGACTTGCAGTCAAAATGATGAAGGTTATGGTCCACACATAAACCATTTCTATGTAGGTTTTGAGCAAACGCTTCAACTGTCTGTTGTCCATGTAAACATGGTCGGGTTTTTTTGTTCGAGTCATTGCAGCTATTTTCAGCTTACTGAACTGACTTGTACAGGTTTGGTCCGCTCAAACCCATAGCTGACCATTTTCAGTCGCACTCCACGTGCGCGCAGTGAGCATGTGGAGTTTGCGGACATTCCGTTTTGTTGTGTTGTGCCAATGCGCACTTTTGCCTTTCGGCTCTCGATTGGAGGACTGCTGGAGAGTGACTGTACGTGCTTTGGTCAGGCTAATTGCTGAACATTTACTGTACCCTTTGGAACAAAAATGGAAGTGGATTGGGATGGCACCTTGGAAAATCATTTTCCCCTGCAAATAGGGGGTGAACTCCAGTGTTAGTTCCACGGAGGGGGAGTATGAATCATGACGAAAGGTTGGATATTTGGTCCACCAGTCTTACCAAGGATTCTTGAGCAAATGTTGGAGAGCGTTGACCAACCATTTGCCAGGATGTGGATGAGCTGGAAGCACAGGACTGGGAAACGCGCCCCCTGACTTCGCAAGTATATCGACAGAACAGATCAACCTGGCAAATTTATATACCCGTTTTTTTGTTTTTCCAACTTTGAAAGCAACCACCAGACCACCAGAGGTTTTGCCAGATATTTTCCTCTGCAGAGGAGGCTTTTCAACTTGTTTTTGTTTGTTTGTTTGTTTGTTTCACGGTATTGGGATGTGTTGTTTGTGTATTATGAGTCTGGGGCTTGAATGAACTGTGATCACATGTATCCGTCGGCTTCAACGCAAGGAGATTGCCACACCTCTTCCGCAGCTTCTACGCCACACCTTAGAACTGTAAAACTGGTGATCAGATCGAAAGACCACCTACAAGCAATGGCCTCCAACCCAATAGCGATGGCCTCCAGAGGAAATGAGAGGTGGGATGAAAGTCCAAGGAAGGACTCGACTCAACGTGTAAGACAAGTTGTGCAGCAAATCAACATGTCCATCAGTCAAGCTTTGAAGGGCCAGCCAGTATAGCGTAGGAAAGTTAGAAGTACCTACACAAAAAGACTTGTTTTGTTGGACGTTCACCTTTGTCGGACCTTCTAGCGTAACATGTCGCATGGGTATCCACTAGCAGATTTTTGCTGTTGAACCTTTGTTATTTTGAAGCACTTCTCAGTTGCACTCATCTGAGGGTCAATTCAACTCAAGTTCACGCGATCATCGTCATTTTTTCTCGATTCGATCGCTTGAAGCCGGCTTGATTCGTTTCGTGTGCTGGTCTTCTGCAAAATCTGAGTCAAATGGCCGTTTGAAAACTTGGAGGTGCGTTGAATGAAACAGAAGATGACCCCTTTCAGCAGGAGATCTTGGTACTTCAGCAGTCTCTACTGCAGTCCTCCTTGCTCAGGAGCAGGCAGGGGATGGCCTTGATGGTGCAAGGAGCAGGGTGGACCTCAATATATAGTAAAATGTGCATGTCCTCCACGCCACAGGGTGTACAATCGCATCACTGCATCTTTATCTTACACTCCTGAACGACTCTGCAACTAAGATAGGACCTCAAAAACAACTCGTTTGTCTGTCCTTATCGGCGTGTACCTCCTCTCTCCGCTCAAAGACCGGGCAAAAGACGATCGGGGGGGAGACGACCGAACAACTGCCACACCGCGAGCACTGCGAGCACCGCGAGCACTGCGAGTCGATGCATCGTTGATGCATCACTCCGCGCAAGGTTTGTGGACCATGTGATTGACTCAGTCATTTTTTGGACCATGCGTGTCACTTGCAAGACACATCCTGCTAGGTCCAAGGTTGTACGCAAGCAGGATGCTTTTCTGGTGAAGGTACAAAGATGATGCGAACAGAAGGGATGGTCCTCTTCCGTCAGTTTATCGTGGCAAGTGCCGTTGTTGAGGTGTTTCTTTTCGAGGCAAGCAGGACACAGCAGGTTGACCACGAGTAGTGACTATTGAAACGACGGTGTACAACTGACCCACGTGTCCCCATAGGGGAAGCCACGTCAGTGCAGTTGTGAAACTGTCATCCTGTCGCGCATTACAACTGTGGAGTACAACAGGCTTCACACGCTTGACATTTCAGAGGTTGCCACACTGTTTTCTTTGGGGGGAGCGTGAACCGGTCAGAAGTGCAAGAGTTCTGGTAGCCAGCTTGCCCGAGCCTACCAAGCCTGACTTGTTATCTCGACACTTCTCGCACACCCCTTTCTTGGACCGCTGATCGACGTACCCCATAAGAGCGTCTAGATACACGTGCAGAGCAACCCAGATGGGTAGAGCTGGTTCTCGTTCTTCTCTCGTTCCAGGCTCTCCATATCCCCGGACGACAAAGAGAAAAGATTTGCTCTGGATGAAGTTCGAAAAGCTTGGTACATTCACGAGATGCTCGACATGACTGGCGCATGACAAGGTTGGAGTTGTAACTCGATGTCCACCTGTGGTCATTCCGTGGCTTGCGCTTTGCAAAACATGGTCTTCAACATCCAGAGCCAGCGGGCCAACATCGGGAAGTTTTTGGGATGACAATTTGGTGGATGGATCCTTCAGCCAGTTTTGACCCACCCTACTAGATGTTGGTCAATCATTTCAAACATTTGCAGCTCAAAATGAAATCCAACCTAGCCCTTGGTGGGGTAGGAAGATCTTGATTATGAGTTGTGGATCTTCCTACATCTTCTTCATCTTCGCTCCGTTGTTTGTTCCTCAGACAGGCACAGCCAGACACCCGCCACGAGAATCGGCACCGGACACCAGCCACGGCCACCCGCCGATCGATGCGACCTGAATCGGTCGCCGAGGATCAAGGAACGACTAGACTTGGGCGATGTGAAAGAGGCGGCCTGGGGGGGCAGCCTGGGGGCTCCATGAAGGGACTCTGGCGGCCAGGGACTCTAGGAATCATGTCGGAAAACCTTGGGACAGGTTCAAATAGCTTCGTCTTGTATAGATCAGAGAGATCCTGCTCGAGTGCAGGATTCGGCTTACATCATTTGTGTCACAAGGAGGCCAAAGGAAGGTTGTTGCCTCCCTCATCCGGTCGCACAGGACTTGCTCAGTCAGCTTAGCTCGCTGCAGAAGCAATGCCCCGATGCCGAGGACTGATGCGATGCCCTGGGGCCTGGGGGGTGGAGACCGGCTGCCAGGGGACTTACCAAGGGACCTGCTGGGGACCTAAGTTGGAGGCGCAGCACTGTGAGAAGAATCGTGGAAGTTGCTGCTTCACATTTGCTCATGTTGCTGACACTGTCAGGAGATTAAAGCTCAAATGGCAGATATCTGGGAAGAGGCGCTTGGACTGTGGCCGGACTGGGTGTCTTTTATCTTGTGTCCAGAGCCAAAGGCCAGTGCTTTGCCAGAGGATAATGCATCAACTAACCCCTTTAGTTCCTGGACACTCAGCCTTCGCAAGTGGTTCGGGCAAAACTCAGCCCCGCTCTGAAGAGCCTGGAAGATCCAAAGACTTGCAGCGGCCAAGAACGGATGGAACACCTGCGCTCAGGTGGGGATGCAGCCAACCTCCCAAAACTGTGAGGGACCAAATGAGCTCCCAACCAATCGCCCGGTGCCCAGCACCGGAAGACACCGCGCAGAAGCGGCCACCCTTGGCCACCCTTCAGACGCCTAACAGGTGGAGCGATGGCGCAATGCCACTTCGGAAAGGATCGGCCGCAGAGCACCAAGCACGCAAAAGCACTCCTTCGCGAAGGCATCACATTCCCACAGCAAGTGATTCATAGTCAGAATCAAATCCCTTAAACCACAAGCAGGGCAGCCATGAATGTGTTAATCCTTGGAAGACTAAAAAGAAGCCGGCGACAACGTAACGCCCGACAGAATCTGGAAGTCTTTCAGAGACACGAGGGCAGCTGCTTCTTTCGCCCGCGAAACTTGAGATTCATCATATTCCACCTGGCAAACAGCCGAGTCACGACGCCCTTCATTATGAAAAGCAGTCCACAAGCACCTGCGGAAGCTCTCTCGGAGATCATGACCAAGGTCAGGCCATTCTCGCTAGTGCCGCCGGTCAAGGCTTAGGTGCCTCTGTAGGGCGGGATGCCACCACATCCAGGGTGTTAACAACTGAATTTGTGTTCTGAATTCATGAATTTGTGCTAGGTGCTGAGTCACACGGCCCTATGCATAACAGAAACAAAGAAAAAGAAAAGGACAAGGACAAAGAAAAAGAAGACAGGGAAGGAAAGAAAGGAAGAAAGAAAGCAAACAAGAACAAAAGAAGGGAAGGAATCATTTGGTGTTGTAGTGGATGCACCCCCCACGTCACATGCCGGGTGCCCCTGCGATGTGTCCACCAGGTGGGTCGATGGGTGAAGGCCGAGGACCTGCGCCTCGCCATGGAGCGAGAAGCCCAGAGCATCGAGAGCCTCAAGGCACGCTGCTCGTGGCGTTCTACGCGCGGGACTGCGCGCGGTGGCATGTTGGTCGGCGAATGGTTGGGTCGGATACAAGTGGACAAAGCAAGCACCATTGTTTTGTTCCATGGAAGTCACAAAGAGAGGAGTTTTGCTGGTCCGACTTGGGTTAGCACTTGCTCTTGCCTGGCCTAGTTTCTTCTGTTTTAGATCCGCTGTTGAGCAGGAACATAATTAGATTGAAGAGTCGTCTCCCGTTTTGGAGACACATCGATCAAGCGCATGACATTAGGGGCCTAACATCGGCGCAAAAAGAAAGCACATCGAAGCAATAGATCATTCACAGCTTGAGATTCATCCAGCTGGGAATTCATTTCAGAAAGCCTTTGGTCCATGTGATTATCTTTATTTGAAAAGGCAAGCTGCTTGAAGCTGTGTCCGTTTTTGTTTCTCTGTTTAACACACATAATTGAGCTTGGGACACAAGCTTGTACAGGAGTGTCCCGTTCATGCCAGGCCCGAATGAACTTAGATGTGGAAGGTACCAAGAACAAAATTAAAGAGTTACAGCTGCTTGGCAGGGCCTGGGACCGACATTTGGTCAGACCGACAGTGGTGGGATTGGTTCTGACTTGGCAAGCATGGTGAGGGATCACAGTGCACGAACGAGTGCTTGGGTTTTGTAGGGTTCGCTTGGGCTCCAGGCTTCACGGTGGTGACCAAAAAGTGCTCCTTTGCGGCATAGTGAGATGATGGGATCGAAGTGAGATGCTGTCAGCATCGTGCAGGGAATCCGTGGGAGTCAAACCACCTGGGTCAGTTGAAAAACCATTCCAGCACACCGATCAAAAAAGATCTCTGAAAAATGAGTCTACTGACCAGGGGTGACTTTTGTGACTTTGTAGACTACAATCGACTTTTCCCTTCCAATGATCGCCAAGGATGCAGTGTGAGAATGTAAGCAAAGCCTTCACCAAGGACCAAGAAAGCAGGCCGAGAGCGAGCAACGTTTCTTTTTTTCCCATTTGGGTCGCGCTCCAAAAACGAAGTGAGCTCCTGCTACATTGCTCAACACGTCCCTTTCTATGCAACTAGAGCTATTGAGCATCGGCTCGTTTGGGGGGTGGTTGGGTGTCATCCACATTGACGTTGGCCTCTCCCTCGGCCGCACTGGTTTTACTTTTGGTTGCGCTGGTTTCAGACACTGCTTCTTTTTCCCGCCATGGCCATTAGTTGCGGTTTACTGGCCATGCATGGCCATGCGAAAATTGGGAATAACAACCACTCCGGCTGTCTCCGGCCACTCCAGCCGTTGGCCTCCGGCCTCAGGAGCTTGAATTTTCGGATCAATAGGCAATCCTCAAGTTTGATTGAACATGCCCAAACATGCCCATTCTTTCTTTTTGGATTGTCACAAAATCATCCACCTAAAGATAACTATGCCGGGAATGACTGGTTCCAGAAGGGAGCTTAGATGGTATGCAAACCTTGTTTGGGATGAGTCTTAAACGATGGACGCGAACAAATCCACGTGGTCGAAGTAAGAAGCTGCCCTTTTGCTGCCTGGGATGCCAAAGAAAAGGTCGCCTGGCACGAAAATCTCTCTCGGGATGGAGGGAACCGTCTGCCGGACTCGAGCGGAATTTTCGGAGAGGCTGTTCGAAATCGTGAACGTGGCAGCACGCTTGTGGCATGGCTGCGTTTTTGCGCAACGTTGGACCCCACGTTGGTCTCCGTGTCAGTCTTCACGGTCCTGATCCTGGGCGAGTTTTGGTGTTTTGGGCGAAATTCGGAGTGAGAGGAGCTCTGAGAAGTTTGGCGGACACATGCAATGAAGCTTGGGGATCGGAATATATCAGCTCTTTCATGGAAGGAGAGTGAGAATCTCCAGGGCGGTCAAACGAAAATAGACTGCCATAAAGGCACAAAGATATGAACATCGCTACCAGTGGAGACTTCCGACCTGATCCGTCCATGATGAAAAGTCCGAAAAAGAACACAATTACCCCCAACACTGACCGCAATTGGCAAGAGGCCTTCTTCTCACCTATATAAGTCACTATGTGGTGTGTATTTCCACCATCATTGATGGTTCGAAGCCTGATAAGACATTTTGGTGCTTCCATGCAGGCTGCCATGACCCACGGCCAGTGGAGAGATATTTCGCTTGATATTCTTTGTATCTCCGTGTTTTGGAAGGAAAGAAAGGAAGAAAAGACGTGCCACCCGAGCCCTCAGGGCCTCAGGGCCCAGCGAAAACAGCTTTTGGTTAGCTTTTCAACGGAGGCGCTCCGCCATGCCAACCCAATCCGAAGCCAAGCAGACCAGAACAAGAACCAATCCGAAGGGCCAGGCAATTCAAATTCTGGTGGGGAATTTTCTTGAGCAAGATCCTTAGGGATAAATGGTCCCTTTCCATCCACTTCCTAAGCCTTGGTCTTATGTTTGTTTCTCTCCAGTTTAGAACCGAAGGAAAAACCATTACAGTAAAGTAAAGACAAGCAGAGTCAAAAATAAGCTGCGAACCCGTCAAATGTGCAGCTCATATCGGTCACACCCACATCACCACGAACTCACCGGGCTTGGGAGTCGAAGACCGCCATGTCGCCCTCCTCGTTCCTGAGCCAATAAACGAAGTGCGTTCCGAGGCAAGAGCTCAAAAAGCTCATCTCCAATGCGGTCCATTCCGATGACGTCCGCGTGTGGCAGGCTCGGCTCCGCATGTGTGGGGAGTTTGAGATGATTCCATCCAGACTTCTGTGTTTGGTTCATTTGGCTTGTTTTTTCATATGTTTGGGAAGAAGCAGTACTATTGCGCTGATACTACTGGGCATGTAGAGATGACCAACTTGCATCGTGCAACCTTCAACCTGAAAACATCCGACATCCTCAGAACTGATCCGTGGCCAACGGCGCGATCTTTGCCCCTCCGGGAATCGGCCGCAGGAGCAGTATGATCCGCTCCAGAAAGCGTACAAGGACTGGGTGAGACAACACTGCCGCGGTGAGCATCTGCACCGAAGAACACATTGCCTTGGATTGAGATGCTTTTTTGCTAGTGAAGGTTTTTGATCGGTTGGCTCCCGCAATTCAACTGGATCATTTGAGTTCCACTCCCCGATCTCCCGAAGCCACTAGGTCACTAGGTGTTGGGCAGATCAATTGGCCAAGTGGCCAAGTCCGACAGGAACTCACCAAAGACTTGAATGATAGTCAGCTGCAGCAGGCCTTCCAATTTGCCTCTAAGCCTTGCAAAAGTCCGTCGAGCTCTGTGGGTTTTCGAGATCGGGGGGTTGTGGGGCGCTGCATGAACGAAGCGGTGGCGAATCCACTGATTTTCTTTCTGCCAATCAGCGAGTTTTCTATGGACTATCAGGGCTGCCATGTTCCTGTTTCTTTATTTTCTTCTTCTTTTAGTTGGGTTCCTGTATCTTGGGAGAGCGGTGTTAGTCACCACCGGCCTCCGAGATTGGATAATATTTCGGCACTAAGGTGACTCTCAAGCAGGATATTGAGACAAATGAGGAGCAGATCTCCAAGGAGCACATCGAGGGCCTCTTGGCTGATTTAGTCAATCCGGCGCTCCAAGAAGCGGTGGTACACGTGGCTTTTGCAGCTGCCACAGGATTGACAGGTACATGTCCATTCAATCTGGTCTGGTCCCATTCTTTTTGTGCTTCGCTCCTCTTCAGGCCCTCAAAACCACGTACCACGCTTCGCTTCCGTCCGCTTTCGTCGGCTTCCGTGCCGCACCCGGACACCGGGCTCCGGTCGGCTCGGCCCGTGGCCTCGGTCGGTGGCGAGGCCGTCGCACGTGTTCGTTGCGTGGCTTCAGGTGAATTGAAGAAATGGACTGAAGTCCCACAGTACAGATACAATGCACTGCAAAGGCAGTTGGCCAAACTCAAGCAGGAGAGAAGCGGACACACGTCAATTTTAGCAGATGTGGACGGTGAAATGGCACTGAAGCGGGAGGTTTGGACCGTTGTTTCTTCCTTCTGTACAAGAAGAGCTGAACCTGAGAGAAATGGAACGAAGGACCGGTTCACAAACCTGTGATGCGAGCGTCAAACCCAGGTAAAGGTTTTATGCATGGTCTGGGAACCCACCCATTCTTTGGAAGCCATTGTTTGTGAGAGCTTTCTCTGCTTGGCCGCCCTGGTTGGATTTGCCATGGGGAACATGATCTCACGTTGGTATATAACTACTCACGGCAAGGGATCCTGCAAGGGACACATTCTGGAATCACGCCAGCCATAAACAAGAGCGACTCTTGTTACGCCTGATCTTTTGAGGTGACTTTTCGGCTCCCCTGACAAGGCCCAACTCGACCAGGGATTCCGGTCTCGTGCCAGGATCTGGATGTCAACAGCATTGAGACGTGGCGGGACCGTTTTGGGGGGGCTGCGGCGGGTTTTGACTCCAGCTTTTTCGATGATTGCTTTGGTGAGTACTTTCTTTGGTGGGTGCCACTGGCACCTGCTTGTCTGGAAAATCTGACGCCACACGATGACCTTTCAAAATTACCACATGGACGTTTCACTGTTTTTCGAGGTGTTTTTTCCTTCGAAGACTTTTGCATCCTGCTATGACTTCCACATTGCCATCATCCCACGCCTTTCCCCTGGCTGAGGAAAGTCAGATCATGGCAATCTGGTACAAGTCCTTGCATGACTTGCCGGACATGGCTGACTTGTCTGGGGCCCAGCAACCGCATGAAGACTTCTCTTTTTTGATTTGTTGTAAAAGACGAGAGTTTGTTGCTTAGTGGAGATCGGAGGTGTAAGTCAGCAAACTCATAAGTCGCAAGCTGGTGCTATCCCCAAAAGGACTCCAAGCAGTCTAGACTAGGCTGTTGGTTTTGGAAGACCTTTTCCGCCTTCTGGCTATTGGTTTGCTTCTTCCATTCGTTAAAGCTGCCAGCCTGCAGCTGTGCTTCCTACACCCCGCTGACCTGTTGCACCGCGTGCAAAGTGGCCACAGAGGAAGGATGCCACACATGTCAAGCACTGCTCCTATCTAGGACTGACTTACCAAGGCCTTTTTGCAAGTATTGGTCAACGAAAGGAAACTGCGCAAGTAGTTTCAATGCTGCCTTTCGCACCTTTTTCTTCTTTGCACAGCTGCATTTCAGCCCGAATTTTTATACAGTTCATTCTTGCTGGTAGTCAGATCCGTCACTTCTACCGGAGCATCGACCGATGCATCGCATCGCCCATGTCTGTCCTGCGACCGATGCATCGAGCTCCAGGCGAAATGCTTCGAGCCCATGAGGCGCCACTCGGCAGGTGCGGTGCAACTCGGAAGTCGGTGTGTCTTCGCTTCGCAGGAAGTCGGAAGTCGTGTCCTGCAAAGACTCTGAAACCACGAAAGGTGGCCAGTTGGCTGGTTGGCGCAGGTTCTTGCGTGGGATGCGCATCCATTTTGGATGATCCAGAACGGCCAGGCAGAGCATGGCAGACCGGTTGGTGGAGATCAGAGTGAGTTCCCAGGCCATCCGCAACATTGAGGTTCCATTCAACTGCTCTTGAAATTGCAATTTAGTTTCCAAGAGGCAACAAAGTTTTACTTTTCCCTTGATGGAAAAGTCCAAACCAACCAAGAGATTGTTGGTGTGTGTTGGAAACGTCAGCAATTGGCAAGCACCAACACTGGTAAATAGTCTCATTGGGGATAGACGTGGACAGATTCACATGTACGAAGTCGCTGGGACAACCAGGACACTTTCGAAGGGCTCAGACACCATGACACTGTTGTGTCATCACCTTGAATGAAGTATCGAAATCGACTTCCACATTGTTTTTTGCATGGATCAAGAGCTTCCATACAAGGCATCGACTTGCACCTCGCACTCTCTTCGCATCTCTTTGTTTTGGATGACTGGAGGCATTTCTTTTGCGTGTCTCACGGGCTGGACCGTTCGTTCAGCGGACCTTCAAAAGGGCCCACCCGCGCTCGGAGCGACCGAGCGGGGTCTTGGCACCGGTGGGGCTGTCGGAAGAGGAGTCTGAGAAGATGAGGGAAGCTGAGCCTTTGGGATTTGTGAGATTTGGGTGTTATGTTTATTTTCTCAAATCACCAACATCATGCAATCAGTTCTTGGTCAGAAGATCGACGGTCATTTTCTTCAGGGCCAAATGGTTGCAATCAGCAAGATGCAGAGCACCCTTCCTTCCAAATCTTAGGATGCCACAGCCTCGCCTGTGAAAGTGATTGGCCAACCTGCCAGGAAATTGCAATATCTCTTTGTGTATCTCTACCTGGGCCGTAGAGATTGCTTTGCTCTCGGGCCCCAGCATCCAATACGCTGATGTTTCCTTGGGCCGGTGTCACGTTCCATTCGCTATCGGTTTGACCGCCAGAACGGAGTCCCTTTGACCACTTTGGGTGGCCAGAACTTCGAGACCCAGAACTTCGTTCCGCTGCCTTTGGGATCAGGAATCTTTGCCACATGATCCAATCTAAAGGTTTGGAACCGTTTGAGAACCTCAGAACCAAGTAAGTCAATACTTTCCACGCCATGGCGCTGATAGACGGGAAGTCATCATGATCTCCTAGGCTTCTTTCACCCCTGAGATGACCGAGCAGAGAGCAATCTCACCATTTTCCCCCTCAACAGGATCGAGCCTTCTTGAAGATGATACCATCTGCTGAGCCGCTTCACGTTGAAGCCAACTGCACGTGACCACGTCGCGTGGATGGAGCCACTTCCGGCCCTGTGCTGCAGGGACCTGAAAGGGCCCTGGCCAGGCTCGGAGTCGGAGTAGCCCTTTGAGAGTTAAACCACTCCAAGGGATGGTGGGAGAGTTGTATGTGGCAAACATTTTTTTCTATTCAATCCATTCATCCTTTGTCTTGAGTTTGGCTGAGAGTCTTTTTGTCGGACACTTTTAGGACTTGCGTCATTTCATTGGCTTGAACGTCAGCCGCTTGTGATTCTTCCCATGAATCTTCAGCATCTCCCTGCCGCGGATGGGCATCCGCCTGTTTCTCGGCTGCGCCTCTCGTTGAACAGGCCCTCTGCGACACTCGTGGCGGTCCGTGTGGTCCGAACGTCGCCTGTGGGGAGAGCCCAGGCAGGGTGGGTGGCCTAAAAGGGTGATGGGTGGGGAGCCTAAGAATGGGACTCTGCGATTGATTTCTTTGGATGGCAGGTCACGTGAGCAGTTGCAGAGTCTTTTTCTCCCCAGGTTTTGCGGTCGAGTATCCTTTTAGGTGCCGTTGTGCCCTGATTTCCTTCCAGAGACCTCTGACAGATCCGGTCAAAGAAGATCGTTTGAGATCTTTTCTACTTCCAAGTATGCATCCAATCATGACGCCCAACCCTGATTCGATATACCGAGCTCCTTTGCTCGACTGGCCACTGAACTTTGACACCGTGAATTCAGCTTCGCCGCCGTCTGCGTGCCTAGCGGCCTTTCAGATGCTTCTTGGCGCTGAGCATAAGCCTGTGGACGCTTCGTGAGGCCGAGAGACTGTGAGGCTTTAGCGTTGCAGGATCCTGCAAACAGAGCTGTCCTGTTTGCCCTTGTGTCTGGTTTTTTTGGCACTCATCTCAATCAGTTGAATTTTTCTCAGCCTGAGCGAGTCAACCCACATCATCTACTTCTCGCTTCGAGTGCTTAGCAAGACCGTGTGGTCTTGGTGAATGTCTGCGACCGCTCAAACTCCCTGGAGAACTTCACTGGACTTCGTGTTGCGACCGCTCAACTTCCATCACAAGGTCTTTGGTGGAGCTGGTACAACTTTCCATTTTCCAGACCAGACATGTAGAGAAGCGGGAACAGGAGTGTTGAAGGGAGTGCATTGATTCGATCATTCGCAGCTTTGGCTGCATGGGAAGCGGGTTGGTCTAGCGCCAAGTGTTGGTCTAGGCGCCGTATCAAGCAAACGGACTCTGTATCAATATTTTTTAGAGGGATTTGGTTCTCCACCCCAGGAGTGATTCGAAAGGTCTTCCATGGCCCTCCGCCAAATGAATGCAGGTGCCGCGAGCGCTCTTCCCAAGCGCCTTCGCGACAAAGGATGGCTCGCTCGACAAGGCGCCCAATCTCGGCGCTCGCTCGGCGCTAGCTTCGGGACGCGAGGCCAAGTGAGGGAGTAAGCAAGATGCCAAAATGGTACGTGAACGAATTTAGAGTATATATATATATATATAAAAGTTAAGATGATTTCAGTGACAGTTGAGTGTTTTAAACATGTGTTTTCTCTTTAGTGAGATTTATCAGCTGTTCTTTGAAACTTTCTTGCTTGGGCGGGGTTTGGACAGTTTGGGATGGGAGAGATCTTGAATGAGCAGTGTCCTGGTTGGTGGAAGGTTCCGTGAAAAAATATTTGCCAGGCTGAGGCAATCAGCTTTTACAAACTCTCTGGTTTTGCGGTAGGAGCTGGCAAGCTTGGGCGTGGTGAGCCGCAGGAGACCACCTGAGTTGAGGGTCCATGCCGCAGGGACTCAGATCAGTTGCAGATATTGTTAGGAACCTGTATCTTGAAGCATCAGGATTACGCCTGGCCCTAGATGAAGACGTGCTTCACTGGGCTCTTTCGGGTGGACGGTCCAGTGAAGCGAAAACGACGTCCGGGCTTTCAGCGAACGGTCCGGGCACCGGGCAAAACGGTCCGAGGCAGCTGAAAGGGATGATCCGCTCGGGACGAATCACCATCGACGGTGAGGTGCGATGGGGTTCTATCCGGATGGGCCCCTGTTAAGGGCAGTCTTGGGATGTAGAGGAACCGGAGAAAACGCGGAGACTTTATCCAAACAAATGTGTCAAGTGATAAATTTGATGCAAAACAAAAGGCATACGACGACGTCCTCATCCGCTGGGGCAGGTCGTTCGCAATCCGAAGCAAACAGCCCGGGGCCTTGTTTGCCCTGTATCTGAGACGAAGGGAAACCTTCGAAAGCCATTCAAAGAACGGTGTGAGCTTGAGCACAGCATTCCATACAGACAAAAGCAGACTTTAGAAGACGACTTTCCGATTACTTTCCTTTACAAACCGGAAGTGCCATCCACGTCACCGTAAGTGATGTGTTTGTCGGTCCTTCTGTCCTTCTCAGAATGGGGTCCCGCTTTGGAAGGGGGGCGTCCTCACCTACCGGCTACCGGTTCTCTTTGGTTCGGTGGGTCCGAACCGGGCTTTGGAAGGGGTGCGAGCCAGAAGGTTGCCTTCCGGAGCTGGTAGATGCCCGTGAAGTCCTTCAAAAAGATGCCCGTGTCCGCTGTCAGTGGCCAGACTCTTCTTTGCTTCAGCATCTCATGTCATTTCTTGGCCACATAACCCTCTAGTTATATGCCCTCTTTTCAATTTGCTGTGCCAGTACTAAGGAAGAGAACTTATCTGTCTGGAGCTCTCCTAAGTCGATCCCTGTCAGTCGAAGTCTTGCAAAAATCATCCAACTTCCGACTGACCGGAACGCAGTGAATCTGCACGGAACGGCCATGAACGGCACGTTCGCTGGCGATCGACGCAGGTCCCCGCCGAGGCCACCTTGGCGATCGACGCGGTGCCGCTCCATCGGGCCCGGGCGCCGAACGCTGCGAGGGAACGTCTGGCGGGGGGATGGCTCTGGGACGCAGGTTAGGACAAATCTGTTGGTTCAGTGTTCCCTTCAAACCAAGCCGCTGAATCTTTGGTGGTTCCTTGGTGCTGTCACTGCGTCAAGTGTTCAGGGAGGGTGCATTGCAAGTCCATGAAGTGCGCCTTTGAGCGACGCGTCACTCCGCCGACCTTGAGCAGCTGAATTCCAAAGGGCACCGTTGATGGAATTTGTCGCCAGCAAAAAGCGATGTATCCGATGTGGGTTCCCTCGTGGAGGCCCCCCCTGCCATGGGGGTGTTGTTTTTTGCTGCTGCTGCTGAGCTTGTTTTCTTGTTTCTGTTGTGTGAGTTTTTGCGGTATGACCTGAACCCAGCTTTGGTTTAAAGGGAGAAGGCCATTCCAGAATGTTTGCTCCCGAGGACCCGCCAGTCTTGTTGAAATTTCACAAGCCGTACGATGTGATCTCTTCGATGGATGAGAAAAACCGAAGAGCCGGGGGTGCCAGAGGGACTCGTAAAAGAGGTGTGCTGTGAGTCTGTGAATGGTTTGTGTTGATGTGACTTTGATGTTAGGCCACTGTGAACACACAAGCCTCATCATCATCCTCAGAAGCTTAAGACATGGTTCGTTTCAACAACCGATTACTGCAAGAGGCCGCACTTTGCTTTCATTGCATGGTAATCAATAGAAGGGAAAGTCTCATGTGGGGTCGCTCGTACAGCGGAGGGCCAAAGACAAAGGTCGAGTGCGTTAAGGTGCCCAAGGACAAAGTTGCGTGGCTTCTGGGACTAAAAGATCATGTTTATTTAGGTGGGATTGTAGTGGAGGTTGATTAATATGAGTGAATATGAATATATACAACATGTATAGGTACGTCGATCGCTCTGCCTGGAGCGTAGCCTTTGGATGAGCCAGGCAGTGCGTGTTTTGAGGATCTCTCTGATGCACTTCCTGGGCAGCGAGCTCCCTGGGATGAAGAAGCGGTGTGGATTCCCGAAACCAGACCACCTTCCGATGTGTTGCATGTGTGTAAACATACAAAGGTTCAGCCTTTTTTGGGCTGTGCCGTGCCCCTTAGCTTGGAATTGGTGGCAAAATGCAGATATTTCTATATTAATATACAAAGAGACCCCCAAATCGGT